TGTTGTCGTAGAAACATTAGTGTTTAATATTAAATATTATGTGATTTTGGTCAAATTAAATCATACTAGTATGTGTACACAGAAAAAAGTAGTATATTACAAATGGTATTGTTCCAGAAAATTGAACCTTCGACTTGCTAGAGATAATATTTTTGGTGCGTTCCACCAACTTAAAATACTTCAAGTATTGACAGCTGTTTCCACCTATTTAAGGTCTCTTTAGTATCGAACAACTTGTAGTGTCACACCAAAGCAAAGGACTACCTGAGCTTATATACTCTTCATATAAGTCAACAGAGGCGAGATTTAAGAACATCACGTGATCCACACCGCCTTTGCCGCGATCGGTACACACTATGCAACCAGGAATGCACGGCAAATTGTTTTAATAGTTTAGGTTGAAGTAACTCTTATTTTACAAACAACATATTTAGTAAACTGAACCATAGAGCAAGTTGGTTTCACAGTTTTCTGGGTTAATTTAACCAATTTAAAAAAATATAATAACTATCTGGTTTAGTACCGTCAAACTAATCTTTGTTTATATTAACCTTTCCACAGTTGATTTAAATAAATACTTATGGGTCAACTAAATTAATATAGTTAAATGAACTATTCCTTTTTTTTCTGTGTAGATGCACTTCTCAAATATTTTTATATAAACACTGTTTTGGTGTTTGCTATATATATATATATATATATATATATATATATATAACATTTTCAATCATAATTCATGGTGTTTATATTAACACCACTTGGTGTTGGATTTTGACACCATTTTAAGATTACTCTTAACACTATAGTTTTTTTGTACACTGTATACAGTGTACAAAAAAACGTCAAATATAAAATGACGGAAACCCATCAATAATATTGAACGGTGCGCGTCAGCCTTAAGCTATTAGCAACTGGCACACACAAAAATTACTAAGTGAATGGTTTTATTTTCATAATTTTGTAAGAAAACAGGGAAATTGTTACAGTTCTCAGTAAACAATACGCAAATGATTGATATTTTTTATAACACATCAGAACTCTAAACAGGAACAATAAAAGATGGTGCTGGTAACTCAAAATCTAGTAGGAGAAAAAAATCTTAAATTGTATAAAAAAGTAGATAAAGGTGTATGTTTCTATATAAAACTCACTTTTTTCGAAATTTACATTAATTTAGAAGTGTAAACTTTGGTAAAAAACAAATAAAAAAAACATTTTTTCACCATATGCAAAAACATTCAAAAGTAACCTATAAATTTATATACCCTAACCCATTTAAATATAAAACACATGTTTTCGGCAATCTTATTTGTCACAAGGACGGATAGAGGGAAGGAAGGCAGGACCTTTTAGTGCGAAATGTGCAAAATCCCTGCGGTATTTTTTGCTCACAGAATACAACATGCATGCGCTCGTTCCAGCGCACACCGCTTTATCCGGTGGAGGCAACGGCACCTGCGAGGATAACATCGCGGTGGCGGCGACCATCGGAGGCGGCACAAGCTGCCGCTGAATAATTCATGTCCGTAAAGCGCTGCTGCCGCCGCTTTCCACTCGGCTCTCTGCATGTCTGTGCCTGCATTTAATATGAATGGACTAACATGCATGGCACGGCATACTTAAGCCAGTTTAGAGCCGCACGCTGTAAGCACCCAAAACAAGAACAAAATATCTGTGGTGTAAAGAGTAATCTTAAAATGGTGTCAAAATCCAACACCAAGTGGTGTTAATATAAACACCATGAATTATGGTTGAACATGTTCAATACAGCAAACACCAAAACGGTATTTATCTAAAAATATTTGTGCCCCTACACAGAAAAAAATTAATAGTTCATTTAACTTTAAATTATACAGGGTGTTTCATAATATATGCGCAGGACTTCAGGATGTGATAGCTCATCCAAAAAGATGAAAAAAGTCGCTAATAACTTACCCTCTAAAATGCACAATTTTCGAGATACAGGGTGTTGAAATTTTAGAAAAAAAATCGTTTTTTTCGATTATCTCTGGAACCGTTTATCGTACAAAAAACAGGTTTTGTAAGCATTTTCTACTCATAATAAGCTATGTTTTGTGCCAGAAAAAATTTTTTTTTAATCATAATTGGTGGAGATTTTGAAGGGGTAGCGGGTGTTTTTCTCCTCAACTTCAACGCCCCTGAAAAAAGTACGGTTTTGAGAGGCCCATTCGAACCGCCAATGTTTTATACACAAAAAGGTACTCCTGGTCATAAGCTCTAAAGTTGACCGTTTTCAAGAAAAATCAACTTTTATGTTTAAAAACATGGTCAATTTTTTGAAAAAAAAATTTTATTAGTAATTAAACAAAATTTATTTTAACGTTAGAAAAAATAACAAAACCAAACGATAATTGCAAAATTAAAAAAAAAATAAAAAATGATTTTTTACACAAATGCTGAAATGTTCGAAATGCGTTACCTTTACGGTTTGGAGAATTTAGCAAAGACAACTTTTGAATCATTTTTTATTTTGCAATTATGGTTTGGTTTTGTTACTTGTTCTAACGTCAAAATAAATTTTGTTTAATTAGCAAAAAAAAATTATTTTTTTTTTAAATTGACCATGTTTTTAAACATAAAAGTTGATTTTTCTCGAAAACGGTCAACTTTAGAGCTTATGACCAAGAGTACCTTTTTTGTGTAGAAAAGATTGGCGGTTCAAATGGGCCTCTCAAAACCGTACATTTTTCAGGGGCGTAGAAGTTGAAGAGAAAAACACCCGCTACCCCTTCAAAATCTCCACCAATTATGAGGAAAAAAATTTTTTTTCTGGCACAAAACATAGCTTATTTTGAGTAGGAAATGCTTACAAAAGCTGTTTTTTGTACGATAAACGGTTCCGGAGATATTCGAAAAAAATGAATTTTTTTCTAAAATTTCAACACCCTGTATCTCGAAAATTGTGCATTTTAGAGCGTAAGTTAATAGCGACTTTTTTCATCTTTTTGGATGAGTTATCACATCCTGAAGTCCTGCGCATATATTATGAAACACCCTGTATATCTACGGCCATGGATATGAGTGTTCAGGTTGACTCTATATATACAGATTTTAAAAAAGCGTTTGACAGGGTTTATATTGGTTTATTGCTTTTGAAACTAAAGTCTTTATATTTTATTGATGTTACTTCAGGAGTACCGCAAGGGTCACATTTGGGCCCTATTTTATTTTTGCTTTTCATTAATGATATTACTACATGTGTTGAATTTTGTGAACTTCTTTTATTTGCGGATGATTTAAAGATGTATAAAAAAGTATCTTCACTTTTGGATTACCAAATGCTCGAATCAGATCTTGATCGTATTGTTGACTGGTGTAATGACAATTTTCTTAAGTTAAATATAAGTAAATGTAAGGTAATTTATTTTTCTAAAAGTACTCGTACTTGGAATTATAATTAATTAATAATAATGAACTGGAAAGAGTCTCCACTATGACTGATTTAGGTGTACTGTTTGATACAAAGTTAACTTTTATCCAGCATATTGATAAAATTGTTAATAAGGCTATGAGAATGTGTGGTTTTGTTATTAGACAATGTCAAGATTTTACTGATATCCATGCTATTCTTATTCTTTTTAATTCTTTGTCTCGTAGCATTTTAGAATACGCATCAGTTATGGAGACCCTCACAACAGTGTTATATTAACTTGATTGAAAAACCTCAGAAAAAAATTATGAAATTTTTGCTATTTAAACTTAAGATTTCGGATGATATTAGTTATAATCATAAGTTATCCTTGCTAGGAATAAAATCGCTAGAAACACGGCGTATAATCTTTGATAAAATTTTTATGTTTAAGATATTTAATAATTTGATTAACTGTTCTGATATATTAAAACTATTTTCTTTACGTGTACCTACCATCAATACTCAAAATAGTGCATTAATACATATTCCATTGTGTAGAACTAATTACAGGCAATTCAGTTGTGTGCCCAGATTGGCACGTAATCTGAATTCCTGTAATATCGATATTTTTAATGTAAGCTTGTTTTCTTTTAAAAAGTACCTTATTAATAATAGTTAATTATATGTTTGGGTATTATATATATTTTTTCTTCTCTTTTTGTTTTGATATAAGTATTCTTACTGTATCTTTTTTTTGTACTACTTGGATTTTCTCTGTATGTACTAAATAAATAAATAAATAAACTATATTAATTTGGTTGACCCATAAGTATTTATTTAAATCAACTGTGAGAAAGTTAATATAAACAAAGGTTAGTTTGACGGTACTAAACCAGATAGTTATTTTTTTAATTGGTTAAATTAACCCAGAAAACTTTAGTGAAACCAACCATATATGGTTCAGTTTACTAAATATGTTGTTTGTAAAATAAGAGTTACTTCAACCTAAAGCACTCTGTTAAAACGATTAAACAATTTGCCGTGCATTCCTGGTTGCATAGTGTGTACCAATCGCGGCAAAGGCGGTGTGGATCACGTGATGTTCTTAAATCTCGCCTCAGTTGACTTACATGAAGAGTTTATAAGCTCAGGTAGTCCTTTGCTTTGGTGTGACACTACAAGTTGTTCGATACTTAAATAGGTGGAAACAGCTGTCAATACTTGAAGTATTTTAAGTTGGTGGAACGCACTAAAAACATTATCTCTAGCGAGTTGAAGGTTCAATTTTCTGGAATAATACCACTGGTGATATACTAGTAATGAGTCAAGGAACTTCCTGTTTCCTTTTCTTTCCTTTTTTTCTGTGTAGTATGATTTAATTTGGCCAAAAACACCATGTATGGTGTTAATTTGGTGTAATTTTAACATTTTGTCCGTAAACATCGTTTGTTGCAGATTATTATAAATAATTTTATACATTGTGTTTATTCAAAAACCACAACAACACCGTCTAAAAATGTCCCAAAGTTGTCCCCAAACAATTTAATTCTTGATAAGTCTAAAAATGTAAAAAAAAAATATTTTAGTCTCCGTTTAAATATTTATTTGCTTTGAATGCAGACTGGGCCTAGTTTTGATCCTTTAAGTGTAAATCCACAGATATATCTTCTAAAGTGCTCGAACTGGGGCGAAATCGACAATTGACTTGAAGTTGAAGTGTGTAGCAAAGTAAAAACGGATTTGCCAGCGAAAGGGTGGATGGGGAGGGGGAGGGGGAGGGGGGCAGGAAGGACGTGTGTGCCGGTTCACACATCAATCCTGCGACAGGATCACGGGGCACTAATCTCTTAACAAGGACAAAAACAATCAAAATCCTCAACCGTCGCACCCTACCCTCTCCGTTTAGAGATCCACTTTCCTAATCTACGAACTAGGAAACGGATTATACAAGTGGAATTCCGATGGATGTGTCAGATTAGTGACGAGGACGAGTTAAATGTTAACAATTCGGTTTGGTTTCGGTGTGGTTAGACAAGTCCAGAGAAAGTTATTAGATAGTATATTATACAGTGTGTCGCACTTAAGATGAAGACACCCCTATATTTTCGCTATTTGAAGGAATAAAGGTTTGAATTTTTTCACATTCATACATGTTGATGGGTCACATTTTTTAAGCTACTCAACTGAAATCAGAACTTTAAACTTGGCCTACTACAAATTCACAAACAGGGCCAGTTCTCGATATTTTGCTTCGCGTTAGAGATATCAAAAAAAGTTATTGGAAAAAGTTGTTCAGAATATTATTCTAACCCCATGTATAACAAAATTCGCATTTTTAATTTTTTTTTATTTTGGTCCACACAAAATTATTACAAGTTCATTTTTTAGTTTGATAATAAGGGAGCCATGGAAAGTAATAATTTGATACTAACTAGTGTTTATGACCGTTAAATAAATAATTAAAACAATTTTTGGAAATTACAAATCAATTATAATTTATTAATTTAAGGAAATGGTATAAAACAATAATAAATCTAATAAAAATAAATAAATTAGAAATGCGAATTTTGCTATGAAAATCGGTATACGGGGTTAGAATAATATTCTGAACAACTTTTTCTAATAATTTTTTTTCGATATTTCTAAAGCGAAGCAAAATATCGACAACTGGCCCCGTTTGTGAATTGGTAGTAGGCCAAGTTTAAAGTTCAGATTTCAGTTGAGTATCTTAAAAAATGTGACCCACCAACATGTATGAATGTGAAAAAAATCAAATCTCTATTCCTTGAAATAGCGAAAATATGGGGGTGTCTTCATCTTAAATGCGACACACTGTATATATATACATATACAAAAAAAAATGTATGTATATATGTATATATGTATATAGATATAAATAGATAATTCTCGTGTGCTTGCATAAGGATTAGCGGCCGTTGCTGCTAATACATTAATTTCATTATTTCCACCTATGACTGTTGCTGGACGAAGTCTTTTTTTCGGTCGAACACTCCAGTTTGTAGTAAACTGCTTGACTGTACGGTGAAATGAACTACGTGATCGAATTTTTTCCGGAAAACGCTGAGCGTAGATATTAACAGCATCAAGATTCCTGCCTGCTTCTCGATAAATCAAAATCATTTCTATTTTTTCTTCTACTGTTAAAAAATCCATTATGAATAACTACTTAACGAAAGGAGGTCTTTTTGTTTGCAAATTAATCTTCGAACTAAATTGATTAAATAATGCTATACTATTTATAAATAGTTTCTTTATATCTCAATAATAATTATTATTTATAACTAAATACCATTTTTTATACCTCAATTAGGATTAAATTAATTAATTGACAAAATAATTATTTTTTACCTTAAATGAGGTATTTTTATTAAAAATAGTTCAATAATCCTTCAAATTAAAGGATTTAATGCTGGCAGGTAAAAAGTGAACATGGTGCGCAATTGATAATTATCACCGAATGAAATAATGTATAAAACTTAAACATCAGATTTATTTTAATAAGATAATTATTACCAAAAAAAGTGATATTTTTATAGAAAAATTATTGCAGAATCGCATACAGAAGAAAAATCGAACAAACTTGATTTTTTTTCATTACAGCGCCATCTATTACAAATTTGAAAAAATGTTTAAAAAAATCTACCTATTTTTAGTCGAATGATCTGAATCTGCAATAAAAAGTAGGGTAATCCATTGGAAATTTTAAAGTTCCCCCCTCGAATCATTTAATTTTTATTTTGATCATTTTTTCGTAAAATACATACTAATCATTTAATTTTTATTTTGATCATTTTTTCGTAAAATACATACTAATCATTTAATTTTTATTTTGATCATTTTTTCGTAAAATGCATAATACTTAACTAAAATATTTCAAAGTTTCAAGTTAAATGGCTCACCCTGTATAATTATATAACTTAAGTTTAACAATTAATTATTTAGACAATTTTTGAAAGAAACATTGCAACTAATTAGTAAAAACCTTTAAACAAATTTTATATCATTTATATTATTAGAATTGATTTCAAGAATTTTTTTGTATGTTTTTTTATTTAAACATTATATATATATTTTTCAGATTAAAATCTGAGATATACATATATGTATATCTCAGATTTTAATCTAAAAAATTTAGTGGTTGAAAATAAGAAGTAAAGTTGATATCGACTTGTATATTTTAAAGCTTCGTTTTCGATATACAGGGTGAGTAGGGCATATTGAATAGGTTTTGAATTAGTTAAAATTGTTGTGTTAAACAATCATTTGTAGTAAACTTTGGCTCTAATTTTCAATGTAAAATATTTTACTTATAATTTTTCAGTAAAATCAACGGAAAGACTTCACCTACAATTACTTATTTTCTTCTTAAAACTCCCGACATCCCTCTGAACTCCCGAATACTAAAGCGAAGTGAACACATTAAAGATCTTGGGGTCACATATGACAGCAAATTAAACTTTAATTTGCATGTGGAAAATATTATAAATGCGAGTAACAAAAATTTGGGATTCATTGTCAGAAATTCCTTGGATTTTCATGATGTTTTCTCATTAAGTCTACTTTACAACACTTGTTAAATTAGAATATGCCAGTGTAATATGGAATCCTTCATATGCAACACATTCCGATTCGCTTTCTCAAAATTCTTAGTTTTAGATTTGATGGATTCTACCCACCAATCAGTTTTCCCCAAAAAATGTTACTCGAGAGGTTTAATTTTGAAAGCTTGGATGAACACAGATCAAAACATCCTTAGTATTTTTGTTTAAACTTCTAAATAATATTATAGACTGCCCTTATCTCTTAAGTAAACTATATTTTAGAGTTCCTCGTGTTACATCAAGAAATAATTTTACATTTTACCTGCCATTACCTAAAACAATTTGTTTTAAACAAACATATTAAATTTTTCACCCCTATACTTCATGTGTGGAAAGTACAATTATTTGCAAGACAGATTTGATATTTTTTCATGTATTGTTCAAATAATAAGGAGTATTACTATAAATACCTAATTTATTTATCTTTCCTTATAATATTATTGTGTTTTTGTTTTGCCATATATTTAATATTTAAAGTGTTTTTTTTGTGTCTCAACTTTGTTATGTATATTTTATATGAATTTATATGTTTAAGGCTAAATATGTAATACTTGTTTAAATTTTCTCATCTTGTCATTGATCCAAGGACTGTAAGATGATGTATTAAATAAATAAATAAATAAGTAAATAAATAAATAAATAAATATTATATCATCTCACAGTCAATCCGGAAACACACTGTATATTTATGTATATTTTTTCTTAATATTTATAAATATATATATATTTTTTATTTTACAAATAAGGAATGCTTACTTAAACGTAAACAACCCTAAATTTTGTCTTAACGTTTCAGGCAATTTCAGCTTCAGCTTCAGCAGGCCAATGGAGGCGCGGCGAAACTTGCAGCTGGCGCCGTATCAGGGCAGCAGCAAGAGCAGGAGCGCGCGTCCTGAAACTAATCGACAGGATCGCGGACCGAACGCAAACAGCAGGACTGCTGCAGGAGCAGGAACAATCAGAAGGCAGGAGCGCTTAAGCGAGGCTCTACGAGGCGCGCAGCGCTATAAAATTCACCGTATAATAATGTGTTGAATAATGAATAAGCGCTGTATTTTTTACCCACCCCCTCGTATTGTTGTTATTACAGCGTTGGAGGGAATTTCGATCTTGTTTCTTGCACGGAGAGAAATCTATAGTAAATTTTAGATACCTAGTAAAAAAAAATATAGTAAAATTTACTTAAACAAATTTTTAGGGTAACAATATTATATATTCGTCAATACAATATTAAGATTGTAATGCAAAATACTATTTTTTATTATACAATTTTAGTAAACATTAAAACACCAATATTACTAAATCATAAATGTATAATATATATTTTAATTTTTAATATGTTCGTATAGTAAATTAATTTTACTATCTACAAATAGTAATATTTACTATATGATTTAATCAAATGTAAGGTGTACATCTAATATTATAATATATTACACATTAATAAAAATATAGTAAAAATAAAGATACTTTTATGTTTAAGGTAAATAGACAATATATTTTAATATAATATACAATATAGTAACTCATGACATTTTAAACATTCAATTTTCTTAGTTTCTTCAATAAACTTTCTTGACCCATTACTGGTAATACTTATAAGAAATAATTGAACCTACTTGGTTGCATAGTATGTACCGATTGCGGCAAGGCAAGTGATGTTCTTACATCTCGCCTCTGTTGGCTTACCAACCATGTTATATGAGCTCAGGTATTTCTTTCTTTTGGGTGTGTTCCACTACTACAAGTTGCTCGACAGTGTCGTGCCGACACTGATGATACCCAATATAGGTCAAAACACCTGTCTGTCGGTATTTGAAGTTGATGGAACGCACTCAAAACAAAAAACTTTGGCGAGGTGTAGGTTCAATTCTTTCTCATAACATTTTTGTAGGTATATTAAAAGTACAATAAATATGTTACAATTTTTAACTGTTAACATATAAAAATATTCGATTTTAAAATATTTTATATTTAAAATGGCAACATATTTTAAAATTTACTATACTTATTAGTAATGGAAAAAATCTAATTATAATAAGAATTAAAAACAAAATTGGTTGAGAATAATAATATTTTACCTTAAGGTTTAACATACATGGATAGTAATATAAATTATAGTAAAGGGTATTATAATTATGTTAATCAGCATTATACTTTTCTCTCCGTGTACACATATTTCTAACATTTGGTGATTGGAAATTTAAAATAAATATTTTTCACTCGACCACACAAGTACTGAAGGCGAATAAATGTGTACCTACAGGAGCATTTATTATAATTTGGACATGAGTTATGTGTTTGTACACATTGTGCCACTTGTGTGAAGTCGGCATGTGCTCCAGATTTAAAATCCCAAATCGAGTAGTGGAAACCCTTCGGCCACCCCACGCGTACGCGCCGCTCTTTAAGCCTCGGCCCGACGATTAAACCGATCCCGAAATTAAATAACAAAGGACTCGCTCAGACGGTTGACAACTTTAAATTGCTTTTCACTGATCGCCATTTAAATGTAAATTGCCGAGTTGCAGTCAAAATATTAAGCAATTATGCAAAGCAGCTACGAGCCGAGGAAAGTTAAACTGGCCCGATTTTACGCCAGTTTTCACAAACTCAATGCGCGCGATGATTTTGACCGCAAAAGAAAGGTCCTCCACTTATGACAGATGCACTTGCCAATAAATTATCGCCTTACACATCGGGTGTTCTCAAACAGTAAAAATCTTAGACTGATTGTTGGAAATGTTGAAAAGTGTGAACCAAGCTGTGAACAGCATAATTTGATTACACAGTAAAAAAAATACCATGGTACACTGAAAAAAAATTGTTGTAAAATTACAAAGAAAATAATGGGTTATTTTATACCCATTATTTTCCTTGTAAAATTGCATCAAGTTTGTAATTTAAAATTATTACAATATTTTTGTAAAATTCAAAATAGTAAAATTACAATAATGTTGTAATGAATATTTTTTTACAATTTTGTTGTAAAATTAAAAATTGTAATATTACAATAAAATAGTACACGTTTTTAAAAAATGTACAAATTTGATGTAAATCACAAATTGAAAAATTACAAATATGGAATTAAGGGTTTTTTCGCCTATTGTAAGATTGAAAATAAAGCAATATGCTAATTAATTGTTTATTTAAAACTTTTTATAACTCTTCTTAATTTTGGTCTGCTTTTATTTTTTTATTATTTTTATTTTTGTATGTATCTACCACAATAATAAAAATTAAGCACAGACCAAAATTAACAGAATTTCAAGGAAAATATGACATATAAAAATACATACTTAAAGTTAAAATAAAATAATTGTTTAATAAAATGGAAACGTATCAAAAACTTTAAATTATTAAATTCATTATTTAATAAATTTACCATTTCAATTTTTTTTTAATTTACTAATTCCCTTAAACAATCTTTTCTCAAGCGTTTAAAATGCGATTTATAATTAAATATATGATATTTTAAATGATTATTATATCGAATAATTGCTTTAAATGTTAACTGACAAATATATTACATTTGTGAATTATACTTACCAC